AAAAAGGATTGGGGGGAACATTATTACCACAGCACTTTGAAAACTGTGAAACCTTTTGAAGCTCAGAAACTTGCAACAAACACGAGTGTTAAACATACGGTACCTTATTCTGAAATCCTTGCGTCTGATTGATTAGGTTACTTAACAACAGGTCCGCACGCTCGGCCTTTCTAAAGGCATTGATAGAAAGAGGGTACGCCCCATCACAATTTGGACCGCCACAATGTTTGTTGCCCTGCCTATCACGACACAAAGCCCCGCCACACTCTGCCATGGCACACGACACGTTTCCTGGCATCCCACACACCTGCACGAAAATACAAGCCACACAAGTCATACTGAAGCAGCCAGCAAACATGTTACCAAGTGTGTTTTCATTCTGCAACACAAATTTACTGGGAGATGACCAAGATTAATTCACATTTCACTACTTTACGAACATTGAATATTTTTTTTAAATAGTGTACAGGTAGTCCTCAACTTACAACAGTTCATTTAGTAACTGTTCAAAGGTTACTTACAACCGGTTCTCACCCTTACGACCGTTGCAGTCATGTGATCAAAATTCACACGCTTGGCAACTGGTTCCTATTTATGATGGTGTCCCTGGGATCATGTGATCCTCTTTTGTGACCTTCTGACAAGCCAATGGGGGAAGCTAGAATCATTTAACAACCGTCGTGTTATTAACTTAACAACCACGATGATTCATTTAACAACTGTGGCAGGTAAGCTCATCAAATGGGGGCAAAACTCACTGAACAACTTTTTCACTTAGGAACCAGAAATTTGGGGAGTTCAATTATGGCCGTAAGTCGAGGGCTACCTGGACAGTAGTTAAAATCACAGGTTGAAACCTTTTCAAGTGACTGAATAATATGTCTCAGGACAGCTTAATACAGTGGTGGCGAACCTATGGCACGTGTGCCAGAGGCTGCACTCAGAGCTCTTTCTCTGGGCACGTGCATCGTCGTTCCAGCCCCACCTCCCTCCGGGGCCCCCTCCTCACCAGCAGCCCCCCTGGAGGAGAGTCGCCCCGGGGTGCGGCCCATGCGGAACAGCGCAGCCAAGGACATGGTAGCCGGGCAGGGGGGACAAGACTCCGCCCTCACGGTCCTTCACGTGCAGATGATGCTGCGGGTCGCGGGCAGAGGGCGTGGCCACCATGGTGCTGCTGGGCCACCTAGGCGATTTGCGGCAGGCCGTGGAGGCGGTGGGTAGCCCGCGGGGCGGGGACGGTGTGGGGGGTGGGGGTGGGCACTCAGTCTCTAAAAGGTTTGCCATCACTGGTTTAATATAAGGACAACATATGTGATATCTCATTAGCTCTGATCCTGATGTATCCCCTTCCAGGTGTTTCTTTTTTCCAAGAAATTAATTATCTTACTTTTTCATTTAGATCTTCGATTTCTGAAACTGTGAACGTCCTCAGTTGGTCCAACGTAATGTTTTCCTTTACATCCAGATCGTTCAGGAGGGCAAACACCTTGCCCCTTGTGTTTCCTCCGTAAGCTATGACGGATTTGGTTCCCTGGATTCTCTTCTCAGCAGCCAACGTTATTCGATAATCATTCTTTATTTTGTTGAAAAAATCTAAATCGAACGACAAGGTCACATAACCAGGGCGCTTCCCACGACATCAATAAATTGAGCAAATGTAAACCTATGTACTGTGATAAGAGTAAACCCTTTGCTATCATTTACAGTTTTTTTTAATTATTAACCTTTTTATGGTGCTGCAATTAAGGACTCTCGGCGGCTCACAGCAAAAAATTAAACATTTGGAATGGAAGATAGCATAACAACAAAAATAACGGTGCAGGTAGTCCTCGGCTTACGACCGCAGCCGAGCCCCAAATTTTCCACGGCTAAGGAAGACGGTCGTTAAGCAAGTTTTGCCCCATTTTACAACCTTCCTTGCCAAAGTTGTTAAGCGAATCACTGCAGTGATTAATAATAATAATAATAATAATAATAATAATAATAATAATAATAATAATAATAATAATAATAATAATAGTAAAGTTGGAAGGGATCTTGGAGGTCATCTAGTCCAACCCCCTGCTCAGGCAGGAAACCCTATACCATTTCGGACAAATGGCTGTCCAGTCTCTTCTTAAAAACTTCCAGTGTTGGAGCATTCACAGCTTCTGGAGGCAGGTTGTTCCACTGGTTAATTGTTCT